AAATAAAAATGGGTAAAGTGTTTTAATAGACATTTCTCCAGAGAAGATACACAAATGGCCACAAGCACATGAAAAGATGCCCAACAACGTTAGCCATTAGCCATCTCATTAACATAATGTGATACTCCTTTGCACCCTGAAGAAAAGAGATAATCAAAAGTATAGACAATGACAAGTGTTGGTGAGGATGTGGAGAAATTGGAACCCTCATCCAATGCTGTCGGGAATGTAAAATTAAAGGTGCTATGGAGAACAATCTATCAGTTCCTCAAAAAGTTATGCAGAATTGCCATATGACCCAGCAGTTCCATTCGTAGGCATATATCCAAGAGAACTGAAGACATATGTCCACACAAAAACTCATACACAAATGTTCAAAGTGGCATCATTCATAATAACCAAAAAGTGGAAAAAAACAAAATATCCATCAGTCAATTAATAGAGAAACAAATTATGGCATAGCTTAGAAAATGGAATATTATTCAGCCATAAAAAGTAATGAAGTAGTAAACCATCCTGCAACCATGGATGAATCTTGAAATCAGTATGCTAAGATACAAAAGACCCCATGTGGAATAATTCAATTTATGTGGGATGTCCATAATAGGCATGTCCATACAGGCAGAAAGTGGAATTATTGGAAGGAGGTGCAATGCAGGGTGTGAGGGGAAATGGTGACTGATAATAGGTGTGGGGTTATTTGAGGGTGAGAAAAATGTCCTGGAAGTGGCAATGGTTACACAACTTTGTGAATATACAAAAGAACACTGAACTATACACATTCAAAGGATGAAATTTACGGTATGTGAATTCTGGATCTCAATTAAAAAATCTAATTCATTCTCTCTGTCTCTCCTTATCTCACCTGCTCCCTTTCTCTCTTCTTCTTCCTTCCTCTCCCTCACCTCTCTCTCTCTTGATTTCATTTCTTCGGTGTCATGGGGAATATGGTAATTTTACCCATGGTAAGATTAGTAAGGAAAACAGGCACTTTACTCTAATTGATTCTTAAAAGCCAAGACCTTTTTGTTATATTTATTGTCATTCCAAAATAATCACGTGGATGTTTACATTCATTTAAGATGAATACTTGATAAAAACTAGGAAGGAACTATCTAGGGATTTAAATGTTTCTATTATCAGGTTGACACTAACTTCATGTAACAATTGCCGTGTGTGTGTGTGTGTGTGTGTGTGTGTGTGTATCCTTACAACTCAGGTGACTGCCACCATTCCTTTAGGTCTACTTTGAGGCCATAGGAAAAAGCCTTTCTTTGAGGCAGTGGAGTCTTGAGAAGACCCTCAAAACTAGATCATCTCAGCCCTCACTGACAGGGTAGCCATGTGATTTAATTGAAGATTCAGTTCCTCATCTGTCACTCACAGGCACTCACAGCATGATGCTATGAAACACTCAAACCCTTTGACTAACCCCAAGATCCAAATATACTGTCCCCTCCACAGTTATAACACTTATTTCAAACTAATGCATTGGTCTCCTTGTTAAAATGTAACATTTCACAATATCAGTCTAAGTTTATGTTTTGATAACACAAGAGCTAGAAGACAACCTGATCCAATCCTCTCAGCCATAAAAGAACAGATCCATTTTATGGGCTGGTGAGTGTCTGAGCTTACTTGGAATAACATTTCTGAACCACCTGCCCAGCATGAAGGGTGCTGCTGACCTACCTCTTGGGACACCATCATCCAGTTGCCAGGCATACACTATGGGTCACCATGGGCCAAATGTTTCTGGTTTTTTTACTGGAATTTCTACAAGGGTTACTTGCTGCCTTGTATTTGCTCAATTTTTTCCATCTGGGTGAAATCTTTAATCTCATCCCCAACCTTTGGAATCATATTCTTTTGTCAAAGTCCATGACAAATGCTGCCTCCTCCAAAAGGCATTTCCTTACCTTTTCAATTGGATGTGATCTTTTCCAACTCTTCCTCTTCCTGTTTCTCCCCTTCTCCTTTTTCCTCCTCCTATTCCATTTCCTTCTCCCCTCCTATTTCTAACTCTTTAATTTTGACAGCAATAACAGTTCATCTGTCCTTGATTATGGAAGTTATCATATTTGGCTTTATAACTTGGTACCCTTGTCCTGCCTCTACAATGAACTGTGAGAGTTCTGAAGATCTGTGTCTTAATTAGCTGTGTAGTTCTCATTGCACCTCATGTGAATCAATACAGACCTCCCCTCTATAATGGGAGATCAATGAGAGCACTGAAATAGTTTTTATGTTCACTACACTATACCCAGCCCCTACACCACCACTTGCATTTGTTGTACAAATGCATGAATGGATAACTGAATTAATAAATGAATGATGTAACTGAAATGAATTACTTACCAGAAATCAGAGTACCTGGGAAATATATTAGGAAGCTTTGGAGATGTCTGTCCAGCTCACAATGACCCCCTTCCTCTAAGAACTATACCTCCAGCCCCTCCATTATAAAACATGTGGCCCTTGTCCTGGTCATAATTTCTAGGTTAGAAAAGGAAGCTAATCCAATCTGGGCCAATCAGACTCTTCACCAGGGAATCTGGGATTCAAAATAACTTTTTCCCTCTGTGTTGCTGAAAGTGAGATTCTACAAATCAGGAAAGTAATGAGATCATCTCTGTTCTGCTGTGAACAGAAAAAAAGATGAGAAAATGGTGCATGGAGAAGCACGAGGCTATGAGAATAGAATGGAGAGTGTTTGGGAATCGGGAGCATGCTCTTTGTCTGGATGCCTTCCTTTTCCTGAGTCTGCCCCCTGCCCAGGACCAATCATCCCTTGCAGTCTGCCAGTGAGCCAGGTATCCTTCAATAATCTTTATTTTGCTTAAGACTGATCAAGTAAGTTGCTTTATTTGTTCAACAACAGGACACAAAGGGACAGTAAAAACACTAGCAATTTTGAAACCATAATCAGGGAAATAATTACAGAAAAACCTCCAAAACTGAAATCTAATCAAACATATTGTGAGAGAACTTAGGGGGACATTCTAAACTAATTATCAAAGAGGAGACCTAGAAAACTGCTGATCATGGTTATAAACTGTAAGGCCAAAGACATTTTAAAGTTGGCTTACTGATTCTTACAGTTTCCTAATCAATTATCCACGATTCTGAAATCCTAAAGTTCAGATAAAGCAAAAATTTTTATAAGTTTTATGTCAAAATTCAATAAAACCTGACTTGAACTAAAATGAGGCATTTTATGGTCTTAATTTATCCCACCTTGTGTAAGTATTCATGTTTCACTGCAGCAATATTAATGCTTAGATGACAAGGTGCTGGCTCTGAACCTCTTGGGGGTGTTACATTATATACAATTCAGTATGTACATTGAATTCTCCTTATAAAATACAAACAAAGATATCAGAATTTTGAAACATATCTGGTAGCAAGAGTTTCCTGTAGGCACTATGGACCTGTGTGTACCAACTGAGCAGACTAGAGTTAATTCTAACATATGTTGTGAGATAAAGATCCTTGCACACTGGGGAACTATCTCTTTGCCAGATGCACATAAATTGTAACCAGGTCCCTTTTCTTTCTTCACTATTGTAGCACCTCTTGCATCTTTAGGTCCCTCAAAGTTCTCCTGTCTCTCACTTAAAGTCTGTGGCAGTAGCCAGCTCTATGTGGATGTGCCCTCATACAGATGTACCCTAACCGAATCTGTCCCTGAATCCATGCACCTACTTCCCAACTGTAGCCTTCCTGCTGCTTGACCTTCATGCGTGTATCAGCTGTATACACGTGCAAGTTAGCATTCCATAGAACTTGAACCAATGGCTAATGGAGCCAATAGGTAAATGCACCCTCTCCCATGCAACCCCATGGACAGACCTGAGACATATTCTCTACTTCTTCTCAGACAATCCTATGGGATGGAGCCACCAGTGGCCCACATCAGAGGCCATATGATGATGCTATCTTGTTTTGGCTTGTTCTCTTCGCTATTGTGCTTCCATGTTTCCACAGTGTAGTGGTTATCACATTCACCTGACACTACTCTGCCTCCTTATCCTTCACTTCTCTTCCCTGGAATCATACTTCCCAATGAAAAACCCACACACAAGCCTTCGCCCAGGCTTTGCTCTCTAGAGAACCTAGGCTGAGTCAGCCACATCTAAAATTCTCATAATTAAGTTGGAATCTATAAGAATCAGTAAGAAGACCTCACACCACTCACAATGGCTAAAATCAACAAGTCAGGAAATGACAGATGTTGGCGAGGATGAGGAAAAGGGAAATCCTCCTACACTGTTGGTGGGAATGCAAGCTGGTGCAGCCACTCTGGAAAACAGTATGGAGGTTCCTCAAAAAGTTGAAAATAGAGCTACTGTA